AGATTTGTCAAAGCAATCATGGGCAATATCTCAAATAGTTGGAAATCTTCATAATGCATTTTCATTAGGTTAAAATCTATAATGTCTGGGACATCAGGTCATCTTAAGCATATAATGTAAATAAACAGTTATGCTGAGAAAGAAATCGTTCTCCATTACATATATCTCAAGACTCTGACAGAGATGGGCTGCAATTTCTAATGCTGCTTTAAATCATACTAATCCACAAAACAACATGCAGGCCAGTAATAGATTATTATATATATGACCTTGACTTAACAGACATGCATGTTGATAAATATATCAAACAAACATGTTAAATGACAATCAGAGCAAAAACTGTCACATATTACAATGTAGATTGTATTTCATTCTGGGAGTTGGGTTGATATTATACATCAGAGTGTATAAATAAACACTGTTTACATGACCATAACAAATACATTATCTAGTTGTCAACCTCTTCTTCAAATTGACATCACGTCTATTGTGTAGTTAGTCAAACTATATAATATATTCTACACGATCACGAACAAGAATATTCTTGCAGGACAACTGACAATTAATGGTATAACAATACAGTATGTAATAATGAAGAGGCTAAATGGCAAAATAATACTTCAAAACTATATCCATCTTGCAAACAATATTATGAAACATAACTGTGCCAATAAATTGGTTCACTTAAAACTGATATATATATATATCTAGTCTCTAATGATGGCTTCGCATATATGGCTCTTCAATCGTCTATACAAATTGTTGACTCTCTGAAATATGACTGACAGCATAAGTACCCTCACCCATCACAATTTACGTAACAATTAACTATAAGACAAAAATTATGTTTAACCCCAATGACACATTCAACAAATATTTTTAAAAATAAAGAAATGTATGAAATTTTTCATCAATTATAAGTTTAGTTGCATAAAATAAAGCAAATGTGTGAACTTTGGATTGTATGGTCTGTCATTGACTCAAGTGGCTTGGTTTTGATTCCCTGTTTGTACGTGACTAGGAGTAGGGTCATCTGTGTGCCCAACCTTGTGGGTTTTTAACTGTTAAAGACCCCTACTTGCCAACGAATTATTGCAATAAAATAGAACCATTTAGTCCTGAAATGATCTAGTTTGTATTGAGTGGACGACTGATGTTAAACCTCATTCCTCTCTCTCTCCCCCTCTTAGTCTTACAGAACTTCAAGATATACTATTCAAAAAAAGTAGGGGATATTTGATTTTGGGGGCATAATACTAAAATATGCAAATGACTACGAAAAAAGTCACTATAGAACCTAACAGAAGAAACATTTCCAGTTACATGTGACGCCCAAACGCACCAATAGCTACCGCATGGAATGCAGGTGATGCTTGGGATCATCATGGGGGGTCCAACCCAAGATTTGCACGACTCTGACTTTGAATGTTACAGTCATTGTGGCATTGAATTCCAGGGTGGAAACATCAGTTTAATTGTTTTAGTGACCAGAAAACAAATTTTGATATGCGTTGGCTTACCCAAAATGAAAGGTTACGTGCCCTTGGCATGCTACCGATCGGCACAACACAGGCGGTTGTGGCGCGGACGATGAATGTTTCTCAGTCTGTCATGAGCAGGCTATGGTCCAGATACCGTGATACACAATCTGTACAGGACAGACCACGCTCAGGTCGACCAAGGGCGACAACTCAAGCCCAGGATCGATTTATCCGTACCTTGGCCTTGAGAAATCGTGTCATCACAGCAAATCAGATCAGCGCTCGTCTTCAAACAGACACTGGTGTGAGAGTGAGTGGCCAGACGATTCGGAATCGACTGCATACGGGTCACCTTCGCGCCCGACGTCCTCGCGTGATACCTTGTTTGAGAGATCATCACATTCAGGCAAGACGTCGTTGGTGTAGGGATCGTCAACACTGGGATAATCGACGCTGGAGCAATGTGATGTTTTCAGATGAGTCAAGGTTCACTGTTGATTTTTTGGACAGACGTAGGAGGGTGTGGCGTCGTCGAAACGAGCGCTTCCAAGACGTTAACGTCATCAGACATGATCGATTTGGGGGTGGTTCTGTTATGGTGTGGGGAGGCATCACTGTTGCTGGAAGAACGGCTTTACATGTTGTTGCAGGGCGTGTTACAGGCCAGTACTACCGGGACAACATCTTGGCAGTCCATGTTGTGCTGTTCGCACGACGTCATGGCCGCCGTTTCATCTTCCAGGATGACAACGCAAGATGTCACAGGGCCAGGATCGTTACAGGTTACCTCCAACAACAGAACATCACCACATTACCTTGGCCAGCACTGAGTCCCGACCTCTCCCCCATCGAGCATGTCTGGGACATGCTTGGACAGAGGTTACGTCAACGTCAACAATGCCTGCCAATGTCCAAGAACTTGCTGCTGCGTTGCAACAGGAATGGGACAATACTCATTAGGAGTATGCCACGTCGGATCAATGCTTGTTTGGCAAACAGAGGAGGATTTACCCGTTACTGACTTGGTTGTGATGCTGTGGTAACTTTGCTGTTTGACCCCGGGTATCATTTTACCCTTATAATGGTCAGTCTGTGCCTTACTTAGTCTAACGATCATTTGGAATAAATCGATGAATGTGAACTTCATTTCATTTTGTCATTTGTTTCTTCGTCAGTTTCATTAGGTGACTTTAATAACACTTAAAAATCAAATATCCCCTACTTTTTTTGAATAGTATAATATCTAAGCTTCAGGTTTTAAATTAATCTTCTTCATTACAATATAATTGACAGTTTTTTTGACTTTTTGTCTATAATTTATTTACAGAAATTTATAATAGTTCTTGCACCATAAATATGCTGAAATCCTTTTTCTTCTTATTTTCCCCCCATAAAAACCCAAACAAAACATGAAATCTAATAGAAACTATGTTCTTAAAATACAACAAACGAGCGTGCCCTTTCGTCATGTCATTGAAAATAAGACATGTTTGCAAGTAAACACTTTCACTAAACTATGTTTTCAAACAAAAACGTAATTTACAAAACAAAAATACCAGAGTGAAGAATAAGTTAAACACTGACCAATAGCTACAATCTCTAATATATTATATTTTGGACCTATCACAACCTTTGAATTATATAAACACCTGAAGAAAAAAAACTTGTTTGACAGTACTTCACATTTCTTCAAAATCATCAAAAGAGTTGGCTTAATAATACATCAGGAAAAACAAAGAAATTTGACAACTCCCTTCATTCAGTTTAATATCACACCCTTTCTAGAAGAAATATCTTTGTATCAAAATTATGTTACAATTTTATCTGAACCCAGTAGATGTGCCAGTACAGCATCCCTTACTTTGAAGTTCAGATGGTTGCATTTTACCCACTTTGTTGTTGTTTTGTACTGAACTTATTGACACAGGAACTAAGAATGTAATTTATATTCATTCAACTGGGCTGTTTTACTGGTAGTTAATATATGTGAAGGCCAGCAAACACTATGGTTTTTTTTTTTGTCAACAACAAGCTGATAATTCTTGACACCATTTTTACTGATAATCTGCGTGGTGTCATGTTATCTCACAATACTGATGTAATGTTTGACAACTATATTAGGATTAGGTATGGAGTCTATGCAAACTATATTATTTCTTGATCTTAGAAACATCAGTCAAATCTGATTTAACAACTGATGCCACAACACAAATACACTAAGATTCCATTTTCATGCCTATATAAATGCCATCTTGCTTGCTGGTCTGTCTCTGTGCTTACATGTAATATATATAAACTACCGGTACAGAAAGGAAATTACAAATTCAGTCGCTAGCCTTATTACATTTACAAAAGAAAAACTCTGAGCGAACTGCATTAAAGACTCATATGTAAGATTAAGATAAAGAACTGGCGGTTCTTGCTATAATAGTTCAAAAATAGATGATGCAAAATTAATATATTGAAAATTTCATTCAAATTACTTTATTCTGAGCAAAGTTATCAATGTTTGTAGTTTTGACAAGATGTGTGTATTGATTGTTTATTATAGTAACCATGGTGCTGGTTATTCAAAGTATAGGCCTGTTTCTCCATTTTTAAATTAAATCATCAATGGCCGAAATGTTCTAATCTACTTAAATCGGAACCAATCTGATGCCATCGAGAATTGATTATGGTCTATGTTCACATCCCCCATCATAAACCATGGCAGACTGTATCACGTTATTTGTGAGATTTAAAGGACAAACAGTTTGACAGCGCAGGGCAAAATTAATGTAGCATGACTATATCTGCATCCTTAGACTGGGTTAATGAAAATGGAATATATCTGCATACTAAAACTGGGTTTATGAAATATATCTGCATCCATAGACTGGAGGACTGAAGTAATAAAATAAGTCTGCAACCATAGATTGAGGTAATAAAATATATTTGCATCCTAAAACTGGAGTAATGAAATATATCTCTATCCATTAACTGGGGTAAATATAATCATAGTGCCACTCTGAGTAAGACAAAATAGGTTTGTTTGTTTAATCCTTCAAATTTGGGGTCATGTGATGATTTATTACAAAATTATATAATCAACATTTTTTTTAAACACTTCAAAACATTTTTGCAAGCAATGTTATCTGGATGATCATGGTTATGTATTACAAAGCCATTGGTCTAATTATAATAATAACTTACTTTCATTTTGTTGTATTTTATTTTTGCAGTGAAAAATGTTTAAGGAGTATGAAATGAATGTGTTTGTCAAAAATAGTAGACTCTAGAAAATACCCTATATCCTGGTTGGTATGGATTATCCAGTTGCCCACTTATATCATAGTCCCAGAAAGAAGAATGGAAGCAATAAGGTCACGGCTGAACTCATCTATTAATTGTAAGCCATTGAAATTTAAAAACCAAAATAAAATATAACATGGACATTAAAAAATAAATATCACATAAAAATGTTATATAATATAAAACATGCATGTAGTTTAATGACAAACATTAACATAACATACTTACATTGGTGTTTTCTTTACCCTTCATAGGGCTAGGCTTGTCTTTTCTCTCTTTGGTAATGCTTTGCAATGGACGAACGGCTATTTGTTGTGTTGGCATTCTTTAAGCGTTGGTTGATAAATATATTATTTCCTCAAAGTGGTTTAACGACATGCTTTTTATTTCATTCTTTTAAAATCGGGTCTGCTAACCAGAAAGCTATCATCCAAAATAAACATTTAGCTATCCTTAGTCATGATACGCTTGAGCATTTTTACTTCTATATACTGTTGTTTGGACAAGAGCCAACAGTGTGAGGCGAACACTGCACACTAGGATTAAACACAACACACTGTAAGTAAAGAAGACGGAAATATATGGATTAACAAATTATCATCCCAATATTAATAAGATTAAGTAAAAAATACTGGAGATAATCAGGGGATTTTGATGAAAAGCTGTAACTAATTACAAGTAGATTTCCGTTGAGAGAAATTCCATATAGTATAATAATAGTAATTAAAATTACTAGGTGTAGCACTCCCGCTTTGTTTTAACTTAATATTTTATACCATAACAGGATACTAAACATTAAAATTTGAAGTGTTTTTCACACATAAAGAATGTAGTTTTTTTACATGAGAAAATTTTAATCTCTAGTTTTTCCTGTGGTTTCTACAACCAACACATTGAGTACAATTTATCATGTATCAAAACTGTACTGTTATTAAACAATTTATAAGTTAAATATATTCAGTCATATAATTCAAAACATATAGGTCTATAAATAGTAAGGACCATATAATATCTAGTACAAACTGAAAAAACTAGGATGCAAGTTTCTTAGTAGTATTTTATAAATAAATGTAAAGTTACAAAGAAACAGGATTCACTTCTTGGTATTCTTAAGTGCATTTCTGGTTCAACATTAAAGGTACAATTCTAGAACTAATCATATTCGATGTTGTCACATTCAGGGTCAGGTTTACCAATAGGGATAGTAGGTCATTGGGGGCCCACTGAAACTAATTTGTCACACAAGAGTGCCAGAGTATCACCTTCTTTCAATTGTACACTTATGGGTTTGGAGGGTCCACACTCCACAAATAGGTAAATCTAGCCCTGCTTATGCCTTTAAAAATATAATAGGTTAATTTATAAACCCTTTCAAAAATATTATGAATCACATTTTTAAAATGCTTCCATTGTAGCTATGCAATTATTTGTTTCAATTTGATCTGTATAGTTCATAATATTACAAGAAACCATCATCTCCATTATTTTTTCTATCTTGCAGGTATATTTTTGTGTAATTATTTACTATGACAATGTTCAGATGTTAAAACATACATCTGATACTTTGATTTCATAAGCTGAGTTTGTTGTACACTGGCATTGGGTGAAAATGTGTATGCGACATGCGTGTATAGATGTCGTGTCTACTGTGATCTATTTTAGACTAGATGTAGTGACTAGTGTGATTGTTGAGCTTTGCATATTGTTAATAGGGCATTGGCATATACATGTAACTTCGGTAGCGCTGTACAACAAAGTAGAAAATGCTATAAGTATTAAAGCTGAACTCTGATTAAAAAACTATGGAAATAATTTAATAAAATAAAAAAGGTAACGCCCCAAACAACCGCCATACTTGTTTTCAATTTGTAAAACAATCATTGCGACTTATCACGGGTATAAGAAGATAGACAGACCATGCCCACATCCAGTATATGCTTTGTATGCTATATTCCAACTACCACAGGCTCAACTGATTGAGTTTTTTTCACTATCAGCTTACTGAAAATAGTTTTCACTTCAAAAAGGTATAAAATTCCATGTTGTGGCATAACCTCAAGGGACAAAAAAAAAAAAATAACGCCATTATGTCCCTTGAGTTGATCATTATAAATAAGAACAAGATGGTGATCTTTCATGATTATTTTGAAGTGAAAACATAGCTATTTGATGGAGAGAAGGACGGTTTTATTGCTGGTTTGGATGCATTTTGAAGACTAGGTTTTATGATGCAGAAAATCATTTGGTGTTTCTAGTTGTTATGCAAAACATTTCACAGGACAAGAAGAATTGAATGGCATTGACATAGTTATTGTTTAGGGTAAGACAGTTTTTCTCTTATTTTTTAGAGCAAAAGAACATCGTGGTTGGGTTATTTCATCTAATTAGTTAAATAATATGTACCAGATCAGACATAATAATTGTGTAGCAATAATATTTTCAGTAAGCTGATAGTGAAAAAAACCTCAACCAGTCAAGCGTGTGGTAGTTGAAATATAGCAAGCTGGATGTGCACACTGTGCTTGACCATATACTGGATGTGGACGTGGCCTGCCTATCTTCTCATACCTGCAATTTGTTCTACAAATTGAAAACAAGTATGGGGCAATATCTTTTTTATTTCCATAGTTTTGTAATCATAGTTCAGCTTTAAGTCCTGTTGTGTATTTAGTAATACCCTGCCATTGTGAAAATGACCCTTTTAATGATTCTGGCTTTTAAAGTGCTTGAAACAAATATAAGATATGATAGAGCTATAAAAACTGTTAATATAATTTTATAATTTAATAAACACATCCAATACAAACAAATCTACATATACAAAAGGGATGGGTTTGTGTGATTTGCATAAAAACATAACAATTATTATAAATTTATTTACCTCTGGTGCATAAAGGTAGTGGCTTGGAATAAATACCTAAACTAATGAAAACTTTAATTGACCTCAAGTTAATTAATAATGATTGATTTGTAAATTAGTTTGACCAAATTTGACCCACAGTTATTGGAGAGAGAGAAATGTGGGTTAATGTCCACTCGACACAAACTAGGTCATTTCGGGACTAACACATGGTTCAATTTTAGCAATGGGAGGAAACTGGAGGACCCGGAGAAAACCCACGAGGTTGGACAGACGACCCTACTCCCTTGTCACGTACAACCGGGGAATCGAAAACCCGTCAGTTGACTCAATGACAGAAAGTATGATATGGCGCGCGCGTGCTAACCATTCGGCCATCCGTCCCCACCCCACCCCCAACAGTTATTGGCGATCAGTAACTTTTGGAAACCACATTTATACATTTAGGCTTATAACCTTAAAATGTGTCATGTTTCTAATTTATAGAAGTGTCAGTAACTCACAGAAAAACTTATCAATGAAATAGGAGGCATATTACATTTTTAAATGCATCTCACATAATCTAAATCATCCACAAGGGTACCATACCTTTATAATTATCTAACGGAAGACAGGAATAGTGATTACTAATTAATAACAAAACCTTCAAGACAGCGATGTCTACTGAGTAGACTCTACTCTATGGTTGAGTTATACTCACTTAAGGCAGCTTATGTAAACTACAGTACATTTGGAAAATCAATGCACAAGGGATAAGTGAATATATTAAAGATACATTATGGGAGCTGGCAGTTCTCACTATAATAGTTAAAAACTAGATAATGTAATGGGAATTTGCTGAAAATTTCAGTCAAATTGATCCACTCTGAACCGAGATTTTAGCGATAGAATTTTCGGCCTAGCCTCGATCATCATTACTAAAGTCATGATTAAATTATGAATGGAAGTCGAACAGGAAATCGGAACCTAATCCAATAAACATTGCAGGCAGGCAATGCCATCGAGAGTTATGGTCTGGATAGGTTAATTAATGTCAATTTAATAATTTAGATAACATTTCAGGCCTAAAGAAAGACCTGCAATAGGCAGATTTAGCACTTGCATAATGTATGTTTAACTACACTTTGTAAAATAGGAACTTTTAACTAGTAACTAAGCATCAGTTGTAATCATTAAATGAAATGGGGTTTAACGTCCTACTGTTCTGCTAATGAAGAGGGGCTATGAGGGTAATTTAGCCCTACGGCCTACTCTTATATCAAATTCCAACTGTCAAGGGATCTTTTACGTGCACGCCAATGTGTACACGGGACCTCAGTTTTTCGACCCATCCAATGACTAGACAGCTGTCCTTGTCAGGCCCTCCGTCCTGCATCACTGACAAGGGGAAACCATGCTGGTAAATCTAGGTTGTACTTTCTCGGCCCATGCAGGGATCAAACACCCGACCTCCAGGCTAGCGAGTCAGCGTCTTACCCACTTAACCACCGGGACCCCCTGTATTCATTAATGTTATACAGCTACTGCATATGATCATGGAAACTACGAACATGAACCATGTATTCAATTGAATTCATTAGATTTTCTTTAAAATATTAACTGTATTTTGTTAAATATTAAAACTGGAATAACTATCTTTACTGTTCAGGTTTAGGGGAATCTTTATGAATGAATCAAAATATAATGTCCTATTTTTGATCAAGAATATTAAATTGCCAGAGAAATAATATCTCCATTTGTATAATTATAGATAAGATTTTGTTATTGTACTGAAACATTCATGAAGGAAAGCATAGGCCTATATATAGATAAATAATAAACAATAACAATATATGGCAAATAATATAATATACATTAATAAACAAAACAAAACATAATTTTAATCTATATAGCCTTCATTTATTAACATGACATTCAGTTTACATTTAGGTCAAAAATGTCAATGACCATAAATATAGAAGTGTCTCAAGTAAAGAAACAGCAATGAAGAGTCATGTGGAATACAATATATGATTAGAGGATCGATAGTTGTATAGTATTTTAAACCCTTAGTTTAAATGAATCAATGGGGTTACATACAGAGCAGTATGTAGAGAAACGGAAAGGTCAAAGGAAAAGTTTCCCCAAGGAATGGTATAGAAATTTTAAAAATTAGTAGATTCTATAAACTGCTCCGCTGATCATTTATGAATAATATACATCAGAATTAGAATACTATTTTAGGACCTGGGAGCAGAACAGGCAGTTTAAATGCTTTGTTTGACTGATATTGCACTTTGAAAATATTACCATTTTATGTCGACAATTACATGTACTATAAATAATTTTTAATAGCTGTTATATTCACAGTATGCTCAGTTCATTTTGTGTTATATTTTTGTAATCCTAGTCTAGTGTTATATTATTTATAACGCAACTCAACTATCATTACATTATACATTGTTTCTTCGACAATATCATTTCATGTCATCTTGTATTGCTAGCAATTCCTTGGCTGTATTAAACAACACGATTTAATTCTTACCACTGTCAAAATGATAAATATGTTAAATGAAAATAAACAACACTACCTGTATATTTCAGCATAATAATCTGACTTTTCTTTATTCAGCCAGGTACTTTCTCGCTGCTGCCCTCTATCGGAGAAACGAAGCATTCCTTTAATCGCGGTTATCTAGACACTGGCAGTGAATATTCGCTCGGATTTCGCAAGCCAATATCTGTGTGAAACAGATCGGTATCAGCTTTATTTATTTACTGACTACCTATATTACTGTTTTGCAAATTTGTTAGTGCATGGACATTTCGCATTGCATGTAAAATTTAGCTAGTGCGGTTAATATTAACAATTAATGACCATTTTTTCCCCCCTTTCAGAATGTATGTTTACCCATCTTCACTGCAGCTTTCCAAAGTTCGTAGATTCACACCTCGCACTGAAAAACACAAGAGTAACAAGAGCATCACTAACGCTGCAATATACGTCCACATTCCTGCTTTGATTTATATGGTACTTTTTAAAATGAACAGAATGAAATATGAAATGGCTGTGACTGTAATATTACAAGAGGCAAAGAAGGCTAGGCGTTGGGTTTGTTTTGCCAAATTGACAGACTAAATAGTTGCAGCCGTCTTTACGGTATAAGGAATAAATATCCAAAGTTCCAAGATGATCCATTCAGAATTGCAGCCTGTAGACGATGAATACAAAAATTGGACGTGGCTCTGCCCCTGGGGGTTGGATACGGAACAATATAAATAGGTACCACCCTGTTATTGAAATGAACAAACCTGTTAATTATTGCAACCTGTGGTGTATTTACAGAAAAAAAATTAACAAAAAGTGGGCGTGGTACCACACCCCTGGGGGTCGGGACATGCACCAAAATAAATAGTTCCTACCCTTACAGTATAAGTAATAAATTTGCCAAGTTCCAAGATGATCCATTCAGAATTCCAGAGTGTAGACAAAAACACAAAAACTGGGCGTGGATCTGCCCCTTGGGGTTGGACACGGACCAATATAAATAGGTACAACCTTATGATGGATCTGTTAATAATTGTAACCTGTATATCATTTACAGACAAAATATTAACAAAATTTAGGTGTGACACCGCCCAAAAAGCGGAAGGGGGAGGGGGGGCATGCATCAAAATCAATACTTGTCGTCCTAAGGGTATAATTATATTCCTTATGTGCGCTAAACACAAAAATTGGGTGTGGCTCTGCCCCTGGCGATCGGGGTATGTACAAAAATCAACAGATATAAGGAATACATATGCCAAGTTCCAAGACGATCCATTAAGAATTGTGGCCTATAGGCAATACACGGACACACAAAGAAAGAAAATGGATGTGACTTCCCCTGGTGGTCGGGCAATCCCCCCCCCCCCCCGCCACCACACAAAAACAACAATAGGGATCATCGTGAAGCGTGCCATATTTTTACATGTAATAAACCAAGAAGTAGTAAATCTATAAAGTTGTGTTGTTATGAATATTAACCTCTACTTCTAAATGTCATTTAAGGATATTAACAATATCTTATTTCAAATTTATAAACATAACGTTGAACAAAGGCTCTCAGAAACCACTCACAAAAACCCGAATGTTACATGGGTGACAACTATTTAAAGCATATCACGTCAGTTTGACATTGTTAAATGGAGTTTGACATTGTTAAATGGAGTTATCTCCCCAAAATCGGGCATGCACCCAAAAGAAAAGGGACCAACCTCAGGGTATAAGGAATATGTATTTTAAGTTTCAAGATGATCGATTTAGAATTGTGGCCTGTAGGCGACACACAAAAAGAAAATTGGCATGGCTCTGCCCCTGGGGGTTGGGCATGTAGGGCCTACTCCAAATGATAAGGATGTTCCAAATGATAGGAATGTTCCTTAGGGTACAAAGAATAAGTATATAAAGTGTGGCTCTGCCCCTGGGGGTTGGGCATGTACCCCAAACGATAGGGATGTTCCTTAGGGTACAAAGAATGTGTATGCAAGATTATAAGTTAAGAAATGTGGCCTGTAGACGACAAACAAACAAATACTAGAAATGGGCGTGGCTCTGCCCCTGGGGGTCGGGCATGCACCAAAAACAATAGGGATCTTCCTTGGGGTATAAGGAATAAGTATACCAAGTTTGAAGAAAATCCAGTAAGAATTGCGCCCTGTAGGCGACACAAAGACACACGAAAAGAAAATGGGAAATGGGCGTGGCTCTGCCCCTGGGGGTTGGGCATGTACCCCAAACGATAGGGATGTTCCTTAGGGTACAAAGAATGTGTATGCAAGATTATAAGTTAAGAAATGTGGCCTGTAGACGACAAACAAACAAATACTAGAAATGGGCGTGGCTCTGCCCCTGGGGGTCGGGCATGCACCAAAAACAATAGGGATCTTCCTTGGGGTATAAGGAATAAGTATACCAAGTTTGAAGAAAATCCAGTAAGAATTGCGCCCTGTAGGCGACACAAAGACACACGAAAAGAAAATGGGCGTGGCTCTGCCCCTGGGGGTTGGGCATGCACCCCAAACGATAGGGATGTTCCTTAGGGTACAAAGAATGTGTATGCAAAGTTTCAAGATTATTAGTTAAGAAATGTGGCCTGTAGACGACAAACAAACAAATACTAGAAATGGGCGTGGCTCTGCCCCGGGGGGTCGGGCATGCACCAAAAACAATAGGGATCTTCCTTGGGGTATAAGGAATAAGTATACCAAGTTTGAAGAAAATCCATGAAGAATTGCGCCCTGTAGGCGAACCACAGACACACACACACACATACACCCATACACACACACACACACACAGACAGGGGCGACGGCATAATACGTTCACATTATGAATGTGGACGTATAAAAATTACCATGTCCTATAAATAATTGGTTGTTTTAGAATTTTTTTTTTATTTTTATTTTTTTGCCAGCGATAAATACATGTATATAACAACAAATGAATTTTAAAGGATCGTTATTATAACGTTGTTAGTACAACATTTATAAACAAAGTAAGTGACTCGACTGACAGTAAAGAAGAGTTGAAACAATAAAATAAAATAATCTAAAATATGTTGGAAGATATTGAAGAGCTATCAATTACGCGCCTTCCATTAATTAGGGTTTCACACTGCGTAGCTTGTGTGAAACACTATTGTTTTTGTTAAAATTATTATTAGGGTTTCACACTGCTTAGCTTGTGTGAAACACTATTGTTTTTGTTAAAATTATTATTAGGGTTTCACACTGCGAAGCTTGTGTGATTCTTATAGGGTTTCACACTGCGAAGCTTGTGTGAAACACTATTGTTTTTGTTAAAATTATTATTAGGGTTTCACACTGCGAAGCTTGTGTGAAACACTATTGTTTTTGTTAAAATTATTATTCTTATTAGGGTTTCACACTGCGAAGCTTGTGTGAAACACTATTGTTTTTGTTAAAATTATTATTCTTATTATTAGGGTTTCACACTGCGAAGCTTGTGTGAAACACTATTGTTTTTGTTAAAATTATTATTCTTATTATTAGGGTTTCACACTGCGTAGCTTGTGTGAAACACTATTGTTTTTGTTAAAATTATTATTAGGGTTTCACACTGCGTAGCTTGTGTGAAACACTATTGTTTTTGTTAAAATTATTATTAGGGTTTCACACTGCGTAGCTTGTGTGAAACACTATTGTTTTTGTTAAAATTATTATTAGGGTTTCACACTGCGTAGCTTGTGTGAAACACTATTGTTTTTGTTAAAATTATTATTAGGGTTTCACACTGCGAAGCTTGTGTGAAACACTATTGTTTTTGTTAAAATTATTATTAGGGTTTCACACTGCGTAGCTTGTGTGAAACACTATTGTTTTTGTTAAAATTATTATTCTTATTATTATTATTCTTCTTTTGTTTTGAGTAGATCTCAGCAACTGATTGTCGTATCGTTACGATTTCTTCGGTTTTATCGGAAAAGTGGGTGTGACTTAGAGGATAAAGCTATTTTGAACGTTCAGCGACAATGCGAAATGTCCGAAATCACCGAAGCTATCGTTTTTAGAAATATTGCAGTAATTTTAACAATAATCATTGGATTTTAACTTTCGATGCATTTTGGCATAGCCGGAGACGGGGCACATAGCTACGCTACTTTTGATTTTTGATTTTCGGCAAATCTTCGCAGATATTAGGCGCTAAATTTAGAAAATTTAAATTTTTACAAAAAACTTTTTTATTTATGAATATTTTTTAATCGTGTTTTACACAAATATAACGAGTCCTCTGACTTGGGCAAAAATGTGAAAAATTTTTGTCTCGGTAATTTTCCTTGGCCCCCATTGGCTAATTCAGTTTTTCAGTCCTAGATTAATTATTTATTGTTCGATTTGTATAAAACAAAGTTCATATGCCCCGTTGTCTCAATTGTCATTTTTTTTGTTACCAATAGTGTTATCTGTCGGCACCGGAAGTGGCGTAAATTGACAAAAAACTACAATTTTGACAGTTAGGTACCATTTTTCGAAAGCAAATATTATTTTTTTCAAATCTGGTATAACTGAAATTGTGCGCCCTTTAAAGGCGCACAAAATGTTGGGACCATTTTTTTAAATTTCGATTCCGTTTTCGGGCTATTTCGATTAAAAGGTGAAAAAAGGTGTAAAATTAAGCTATTTACAACCCATCCAGCGTTTTCATATTTTAAAATATTACTTCGTAACTTTCATAAACTCGTAGCAATAATCTATACGGAGAGAATGTATGTGAAAATTAATTTGTAATATGCGCAGTTGCCGAGAAATGGGCAATTTTGCATGAGTCACTTTTTACGCTAGTTTGCCTGTAAAAGAGTCAATTATTATTCGATTTTCATAAAAGTGACACCATTTGATGTGTAATGTCAATTTTAACTAGGTCAAACCAATTTAACATTTTCAATATCACCGGAAATGACGTAATTTGGGCAAAAATTGTATTTATAGCCTTCGAAACCAGTAATTTATTCAAATGAGTCATATTTGTTATTTGTTTAAAATTTTGATATTTGATTCAAATCAACTAATACAATGAACCCTTACGATCATATAGATATCACAAAATGGTTTCTAACTTGTTCAGTTGCGGAGAAATAGGCAATTTTCAACAGGTCACTTTTTAAG